AGCATGCTCACTTAACGGGTGTGGTGCAAGAAGAACGATAGCAATTGCCAGCTGCTGGTGCCAACGCACTACTGGCCTTCACAATGCGCAAATTGCGAACTTATAAAATAGTATACTTTTAATGCTCTACTCAACCTACTCACCGGTGGTATGTGCAATTTGGTGATATCCAAAAACTAATATTGTAAGAAAGGAATAAGCTTACAGGAATAAGTTCAAAATACTCAAAGGCACCGTCCACCCAAAGTGAGGGTTCACGAGATTCAATGGCATACTAATGTGGGCCCCACACTAGGCCAACCCCCAAGTTTCCCCGCAAAAGATTGCTTCCGGCGTGAGAAATCCGCTCTGGAAGGTACGTGATACGTGATCCAAAGGTGGTCACTCCGCCCACTTTGCAGCTTTGGGGGCTACGGCGCTGATATACGCCGGGCGATAACTGCGCCGCAGCCCTGCAAACAGCACTTTCACCCGTCCCGCTTTCTTCAAAACAGGGGTTTTTGGAATTCTCGACTTCATATTCTAAATCAGGGCCTTCAGAAGGCCCGGAAACGACACATACATGGAAGTCGTGAATTTGGGTGGACGGTGCCTTTAATCCCTGTGCCAGCTCGGAGCTTCGTAACTCAGATGCAAAAAATTGATAAAAATTGATAAAATTGATATGGATCGACAACAAAAACTAACCTACGACGTCCCCCCCCCCCCCCCGCCTCGAAGCTTGTGTGCCACAAATGAACTTTCTATTCGGAACATACGTAAGGGCTTATCGATTGCAGTGTAATGTGCACCAGCATTTCCACTCCCGCTCGAGAATCTGCACCTCTTCCGCAAACATGTTCTCTAATCATTTGCAATGATTAGAGAGCATGTTCTCTAAAGACGCGCAAAGTTTAGGCAAGGCGGCCGCGCGGGAGCGGAAAGCTGGTGCACCCGACCAGTTGTTAAGCCCTGTAAACACAAACAGACATAAAGTTTCAAATGTATGAATTACCAGTTCCCTTGTTTGCTCTCCTGTGCCCGTTTGCCCCTCCATTTTTCGCGGCCATCTCGCTATCCGCTTCCACGCCTTCTTGGGTCATTTCATTTGGATAGATCAGGGGCGGTAAGCATCAGTCTCCCGTTTTGGAAGCGGGCAATCATTTTCAATAGAGAAATGATTGCCCTGGGCTGGCCGCAGTTTAATACATCTCAGACAATCAAAGGCTCTCAGCGAGCAGCCACAAAGCCACCGCAAAGACCCACCAAAAGCGTCGTGGCCTTATCGCCTCACTGTCGCTTCCCGCTGATAACCGTGTTAGAATTGACAGCGGCGTGCTGCTATAACCGCCGCTTTCGCTTCGTGCTGAAGGCTTTATAGCAGCCCGCTCGCTGCCAGTTCTAACACGGTTCTCAGCGGGAAGCGCCAGTGAGGCGATAAGGCCACGGCGCTTTTGGTGGGACTTGGTGATGACTTCGTGGCTTCCCGCTGAAAGCCTTTGATTGTCTGGGATTACGGGTCGGGAGGTTGTTCTCACCAATTTTATTGTCCCCTGATCATGATACGGAAGAGCTTCACGCTTGCTAGTCTTTCCTCAAAAGAAACTAATTTCATTTTTATTCAATGTAATCGACAGCATTTGCTCCTTGAACTCACACATCATCTCGTTAAACTTAATAAGTTTATTGGATCGCTTGAAATCATTGATATTCGGATTCGTAAAACAAATATGAAGTTTCAAAACTTTTTGCTGAGCGGTGCCAAGGTTGGCATCAATCTACTCGGCTACCGGTGTTCACGTTTTTAGAGCCTGAATTCAATATTTATAAATGTTCTACCTGCAAATGTCTTTACTGTTAAAGTCGTGCCAATCTGGTATGAGAGAACAAATGTGGGAGCAGTTCCCTGTTGCATGGAATTGAGCAGTATGACCTTTCAAACTCATGCCGAATATAATAAGCCATTACTCTCTGAGTTGTTTCATCACTTGAAAGCCACATACAGCTTGATGAGGTGATAATCCGGTGAGCACACTAAAGCACTTTTCTTTCTTGTTCATTTTCATCTTTCGCATAGAAAACCAAAACTCAAGGTAGCGTCCCACTAGACTGAGGGGTACGTACCTGGCTCTGCTAGAAATATGATAGTAGACCCCTGACTAAGCGACGACAGTAGTTTGCAGCGCCAAAGGGGTCTAGGAAGTCTACAAATCGTCCCCCAAGGGGCCCGGATCTTACGGTAGGCTCGGCCGAGTACGAGATGACTGCAAGGTAGAGATTCAGAGTCGTTGCGGGACCCTGCGCTCATAACTGTGTGCGGGGTAGAACGAACTCCGCCAGTTTGAGCCCGCCTTCTCTGGCAATTGGCCCTTTTGCTATATTGTTGCATGTCGTGCAGGACCAGTATCCGCGGAGGTGGTTCAAACTGGCGGAGTTCGTTCCCCTACCCCTGTGTGCGCTAAAATCGCTATGCGGGTGGCATTCAGGGCTGCCGTAAGATCCAGGCGCTTTCGGAGCAAATTTCAGGCTTGGCAAACCCCCTTTTTCGCTCCAAACTTCAATATCGCTTAGGTAGAGGTTCTATTCTAACATCACCACAGAAACCCGGTGCCCATCTTTTTGCCGGCATGCTGCCTGCTAAGCGTTTTGCGTGCCATAGTCTTAGGTTTGTATGACAAAATGAATGCCGAATTTTCATGGAATTAATAGATCGTTGCGAAGGTTCTGTCGTTCTATTTTCAAAAAACTTCTCGTTCTTTGGACAGGTTTGCATTGCTATAATTTTGGTAAAAAGGGGAAAGCTTCTACTTCGTAGTGCTAATTCAAAGGCAGTGTCCGGGCAAAAACTCGATTTTGAGATTTTGTGCTTATACGGGCCTACGCTGAATCCGAAAATGCACATTGTCGAGCGCGAAAATGGCGAAAAACGGCTCTAACACAGGAGGGAAATGAGCAGGTGGGCGGGGTCCTCCCCACTGCGAATTCACGTTCCCGGCTTCCGGAGCGATCTTCTCGCCTCCGTTTTCAAGTCAATCATTCGCACTTGGCCGGTAGCGATGTTAGAACGGCTAGTGGAATCGAGAAAATCGCTCCGGGAGCTGGGAGCGTGAAATCGCACTGGGAAACCGCTCACCTGCTGATTTCCCTCCTGTGTTAGAGCTCTTTTTCGACGTTTTCGCGCTTTCCAATGTGGATGGATTCAGCATGGCGAATAGGCCGGTATGAGCACAAAATCTCAAAATCTAGTTTTTGCCCGGACACTGCCTTTAACAATGTTCTTCCGAGCACTGGAGGCAGAGAACAGATTGTTAAAAAAATATTCATGCTTTGATAATTTCAGGTTAGGCCGCCAAAAATCTGAAACTCTGCAGAAAAATCCGAAGTCGCCAGTGCATAAGTTTTATGACATGATGTTTGCACCTGCTTTTGTGCTGTTTGAGTGTGCTTGTGAAAAGTTACAAATTTCGACTTTTGTACAGAAAACGCCAAGATTAATCATCAGATTATCCCATAAATTCCGCCCGCTTCAACTTTGAATCGCATTAAGTCATCAACGATAGCTTTCAAGGTACGATTTGATAGAGCAAAGCAGATAGAGTGCTATGAAAGACGGTTTTCTTGCTTTTGCACCGGTTCAAATCCATCTCGCGTTTGAAACCAAAAACGCAAAAGACCAAAGGTTCGAAAAATAGGGGAAAATCGCATTTCCGTTTGAAAATGTCCTAGAAAATTCTTAATTTGCTAGATACATTATCCGTATCAGACATCATATTTACTGTTAATGTACATTTTGCTCAAATAGAAATCGAGACAACGAAAACCTATATGTTTTTGCCAAAGTGTTGCTGTGCTGCTCCCAAATTTGTAGTTGTGTTATAGACCAGTAAACGACGTGAATCAGCTCTCTACAGGCTTTCGTTTTCGAGGAATATTCGTTTTATCATGAGACACTCACTAAGCGAAGCTAAGCGATGTTTCTAGTGTACTAAAGCATGTAGAACGCTAAAAAATCGTTTTGTACTTTTACTGATCTGTAGTATACAACGACCAATGTGGAAACAACACAGCATTACTTTTACAGGAACCTAAATTTTCGTTTTCTGATTACATCCGAGGAAAAAATACAGTAACAGTGTATATAAATTGATGTTGTAGTTTGCCTGTGAAATAGTTAGGAAAGTTCTAGGATTTTTTTTTGGACGGAGTTACGATCTCTGTACCCCTCACCGGGTTCTGCGATAGCATGCACGGCTCCAAAGCCGGTAATTCCAGAACAGGAAATCAATCAACAAAACTTTACTACACGAACAACGAGGAAAAACAACACAGAACAAGACAAAAATAAAGCTCGATCAAGGCAACCGCCTGAGATAGGAAAACGATATCAAGTGTGAGATCCTTCGCGGGGCAATGCAGGTCTTGGCGCGCACTTCTTAAATATCCCTATGGTTCCCGCCATAACTTCGCTTCGCGAGCTTCTCGTACGCTGATCTCTCGTACGGCCCTCTCCACACGCTCCCCCCTTCGGGAGCCGATGACCTCATCGGCGGCTCATTCCTCTTTAATTCAGGCAGCGTCATCTGTTTCGCGACTCTTCTTCTCACGGCCTCGTACAATATCTTTGCGCACGCGACAGGAAGATCCGAAGCACTATAGTAGAACAAACAGCCTTCTGGTGCTCCTGCCTCAATCATAATCTTGCCGTCCTCCACCTTCGTCCCGGCAGTGACTATGCATCGTCCCGATTTAGCCTGGTGCAGCAACGTCAGATTGAGGACTTCCCATAGTTCTACAAGCTTTTTCCATTCGTCCGCGATTTTCTCCATTATAGGGGGCCAGACAGTCACGATTTTTCCACCTTCTTCAAACTACTGCACGCACGTTTTCGTTACCTCGCATAAGTCACTGTTCACTGCCAGATGGTCTTTCGGCCGGACGATGACCCATGTGCGGTATTCCTTCCATCCCTGCAAGACTTCCTTTAGCTGGGTGAAGGTGGTGGCAACTCTTGTGAGAATCCCTCATTTTGGTCCATATCGTTCCAATAACACTGCTGACGCTGGAGCTGCGAATGCTGTGCCGCCTTCCTTTACCAGTCCATGGGTTTGTTCTTCGCCTTCTAATTCCATTTTGGCTCTTCTAGAGGCTGCATCGTAACCTGTCAAATTCGTAGTTGTCGATTCTTTCGTGGCGTCTTATTCCCTCGTTTTCGCAAATAAATTCAGTCCAATCGATGCATCTTTTATACGCCACTCGCAATAGTTTCCTCAATCCATCTGGGTCCATACAAACGGCTCCATCCTTCCAGAATTTGATCTTTGAGGCCATGTCGATGTCAATCCTTGCGAAGATGCTTGCGGCTTTCCAGGCCTTCCACAGATTTCCAATCGGTTCCTTTGCCAGTGCTCCAGGAAACTTTATTCCTTTTAACTCTCCAAGACAGACTCTCTTCAAGCATCCTTCCTTACACTGGTACTCAAGATGTCCCTTTTCGGTTTTGGATGCAATCACCGCACCTCTGAAAGAAAACATTGTTACTTTTTTTACACTAACTTTAGGTTTCCTCCCTCTTTTGCTCCTTTTAGTCACTGTATCTGCGGGCTCATCGGAGATGTATTTCGGAACTATCCATAACATATCAAACTGAAGTTGTATGGTTTTTTTCTTCACCTACTCTCGTAATTAGCGCGGAATTTTGGCTTGTTTTTATTACTCGAAATGGTCCAGCCCATTCTGATACTAGTTTCGGATGCGTGCTCATCCTTTTTTCTCTAGGAGCCAAAAGGTATACCCTGTCGCCTACCTTCGGAAGTTTTGCAGCATCTGCCTTATTCCGGTCGTCATACAGACGCTTCATCTCCCTTCTCACTCTGTCATTGTACTCTTTCACACGCTCATGCCTCCGCTACAACTTGCAATAACTGCGCTTTGTAATCCGCCATGTTCTCTACCATAGAGTACCAAGAGAACCCTTCACTTGGGATTACTGCTGAGGGGAAATTGAGGTCCTGCCGTGAAGCACAAAATATGGACTTTCTCCCGTAGCACTATGTGGAGTAAGGTTGTATGCCATCATGCAAACGGCAGTCTCGCATCCCATTCCACTGGAACCGCGAGGCTTTTACGCAGCATGGCCAGTATAGTCCCATTTAACCTTTCTGTTATACGGTTTTCTCGGGGATTATACCCCTTCGTAGTTACATGTTCGATTTTTGTAATTTTTGTGAGTTCTGCCATCACCTTGTTTTCGAACTCTCCACCCTTATCAGATAGTATTGTTTTGGACCATCTGCATCCCTCTGCTATCCACCTTATGAATAAAACATTTGATATCGTTTCAGCCGTTTTGTCCGGAACCGGATATGCTGCCGCATATTTGAGAAGTGGTCAATGACCGTAACAGCATATCTGTTTCCGCTTGTTGTCAGGCCAAGTTCCAGCACGTCAATCCCTATGATTTCGTACGGCTTCTCCGTAACGATTGGTTTCAGCGGTGGTCTCACTGTGCTCTTGGGTTATGTAGAAAGCACCGTTGATATTCTCTTGTCCATTTACTTATGTCTGCTAGCATGTTAGGCCAGAGCACCTGTTTCTTGAGTCTATTCCATAACTTATGAAATCTAAAATGTCCGGCAAAGTTTCCTGCATGTGCTTCATGGAACACTTCATATCTTGCGGTTTTAGGTACTACCATAACCAAAGTCCCTTCCTCCTGATACATCTTCAGTTCCCCGCTTTCGATCTCGAAATCGGCTACCTGTATAGGATATCGCAACCCTGGTATTTTTATCGATTTGCCCAGCTCTCCTTTTTCCAGCATGGCAATAACCGGACCAAAAACCTCATCATTTTCTAGCTCTTTTAGCCACCTACTTCTTTGTTCTACCTCTAGTCTACTCACAACGGCCTCACTTGCATCCGCAGTTTTCCAGACTCCACGCTCTATAGAGCCCCTACTTAAAGCATCTGCTACAACATTAGTCTTACCCTTCACATATTTTATTACCGAATTGTATCTTTGCATTTCTAGTGACCATCTTAGTACTCTAGCCGACGTTACCCCTACTGAAAAGCGCTGTCAAGGGTTGGTGATCTGTCAGAATTATGGTAGGAAGTCCGTATATGAAAATGTGGAAGCGTCTTACCGCGAACACTACGGCTAACGCTTTCGGTAATGTAAGGTAGCTTTCAAATCGGTAATGTAATACCGCCTCTCTGCCTTGCTGAGTCCTTTCGAGGCAAAGTAGACTGGGTGTACTAGCCCGTCGCCCCCCCCCCTTGGGACAGGACCGCTCCTAACCCTACCGTGGATGCATCTGTGCATATCACGAATGGTCGGGATCCTTCCCCTGCTTTCTCAATATCCGACTGCATCAATACAGGCGCAGAGGCTATCATTTTCTTTAGCTTAGAAAATGCTTCTTCATGCTCTGCCTCCCATTTCCACTCAGTTTTGGGCGGGGTCAACGCAAATAAGCTCCCCGCAACCTCGGAGAATCCAAGGCAAAATTTGCGGTAGTATGATGCCATACCGAGAAATGTTCTCAGCTCTTTGGAACTTTTCGGCACCGCATACCTCTCGATTGCTTCTACCTTTTTGGGATCCATGTGCACTCCTTCACAGTCGATCACATGCCCCAGAAACGCCACTTTTTCTTGCAACAAAACACACTTCTTCGCCTTCAATTTTAGTCCCGCTTCTTGCAAGCTTTTGAATACCTTACCAAGTAACTCAAAATGCCTTTCTCGTGTGTTTGTACATATGACTATGTCTCGATATAGCAGAAAACTTCATTCCCTAATACATCTCGTAATACTGAATCTATAAGACGTTGAAATACTGCAGGACTTGTACTCAACCCAAAAGGAGTTACTCTGAACTGAAATAACTCTTCTGTTGTCGTAAATGCCGACTTCTCCCTTGCTTCCTGTGCCAGTGATATTTGCCAGTACCCCGAACATAAATCTAACGTGGAGAAAAATTTCTTGCCTGACAGGCTCTGTAGCACCGCATCAATCGTAGGCAGTGGATACGAGTCTAGCTTGATCCGTTTTTTTGACTCCCTGTAGTCCACGCATAGCCTCAAGCTACCATCTTTTTTTTCCACCAACACTATCGGGAATGCCCAGGCTGAAGTACTTTTTTCTGTGATCTTCCTATTTTCCAGGTCCCCTAGAAGCTCCTTCAGCTTTTTGCGAATCCCTAGCGGCACGGGTCTAGTTTTCAGCTCTATTGGTTTAGCATCCCCATTTTCAATGGACATTTCTGCTCTGTCTGTTCCTGTCAATTCTGGGTCGAGCAAGGCAAATGCCTCCTCGAATTCGTCTACCAATTGTTTCAAGTCGTCATCCAGTTGCTCTACCTTGGACCCTTCCTTCAGCTGTGCGTACAGGATGTTACGGCGTTCCTCCCTATCAAGGTGTGGTATCTCATTGTTCATCATTAGTGGATTCATTTCTTCCCACATACTTCTCCAATTCTCAGTGCCCCATTGTTCTAGCTCCTCTCCTTCTTTAAGAATCATTGGCGTCCCCGTGGAGTTCATGACTGGAATGTCTAGTTCCTGATTCTTCACTGTGAACACCCCGACGGGTAGGTCCTCCCTACTTGGCCACACTACCCTCTCTTCTAGTTCACTGCTTCCTTCACATCGCGCCGGCACGAGTATTGAGTTATGTGGAGGAATGTACACCCGCTTTGTTGCTACTACTCTTTTTTCGTCGAGCACATCCTGTTGCATTCCCTCCGTTTTGAGTATTATATCGACTCCCAAAGTTGCCAATGTATCGTGCCGATCAGTACATCATCATCCTTGACGTCCGATATGTGGAATGCTATTATGCTCTTCTTTCCCCCTTCTAATTTTACAGGGACTTTAACAGCTCCCAGAAAGTTCATCTTGTTGGTCTAGGTGTCATATACCGGGCTTAACTTTCTGTCGGGTATCACCTCTAAAACATCTACGTCATAACCTGCCTTTTTCGCGTGTGCCAGCACCCCCACAGGAACAATGCTAATCATCGACCCTGTGTCCAGTATAGCTGATACTTGAAGGTTTAGCATGCTTATTTGGGCCGCACATTTCTCACCTACCAATGAACCTTTACTCCCCATATATACCTTAAGTCCTAGGCTCGTCGCTTTACCTATCACTTCGGTCAGGTTATCCTGTTTTCCGTTTTGCAGGAACCCCTTAGTTCTCTCAATCTGGTTTACTTGCGTGCGCCTATACGGACACTCTCTCCCAATATGTCCATATCTTCTACAATTGAAACATCTTCTCTGATCCGTGCCTCCTCTTTCCTCAGGCCTTCCAAGCCCTGCATAGAGCTTTTCTTGACGAGCCGGCTTCCCAGAACAGCTTGTTTTTCTTCATGCCACTCCTATTGTAGCTCTATTTTGATCCACTTCCCCACATCTACTCATATCTGTCCTGCTGTTCACAATTATTGTTCTTTGTTCGTCTGGCTCTTGTAGTTCTTTCCCACTGTTCTCATGGAACTGATACCTCTTTTTTCCCATTGTACCTCTTAATTTCGTTTCCGCCGTCGAGCATTTCCTTTGATTGCTCTATGCTCAACGCTAACTGCTTTACTGTACTATAGCCTTCCTGCGGCTCTACCCTGTGAATCGCGGTGAGCAGTTGCGCATGCTCCGGCCATCCCCTCAAATTATCCATTAAAATTTGTGCATACTCGAGTGACCGGTCCCCTACCGAAGCGGTAGGATTGGCTTGCCTTCCCAGCTTCTCGAGCACAACACAAAAATCAGCCACACTCCGGCCTTCCCTACGTTTCAGTTACCTGAGGTCTGCTAATGCCCGTAACCTCCCTGCTGCTGAGTCGTTAGCTAAGAGTCTTTTTAGTGCTTCCGCTACGCTCTCAAAGCCCCTCGCTTTGATTTCTTCTGGAAGCGCTAAAAATACACTTTTCGCCCTACCTTCGAGGTGGTCATCCCCCATAATTTCAATTAGTACCTCATCGTCCTTTATCACCCCTCGATATTTCCTTTTAAATCTTTTCAGAAATTCTTCGAAATTCTCGTGCCGGCCACCCCTGAACACTCCAGGGTTCACGCATGCGTTGGCCTGCATGAGAGCTAAGAGACTTTGGGACTGACCTGTCTTCACTACGTCCTGCGGATGCTGTCTCCAGAGCCACTCTGAGTGGAGCCCATTCTGTATCAGTGCGGATCTTGCTCTGTTCTGAAAGGAATCCAAGTGAGTGCCACCATTACTGTATCCTTCCATATCGTTCTTACCTTTACTCGGTCCCACATCCATGTTATCGTCCATTTCTCGTGGCTTGTTAAGCACACTCTTGTGCATTTCCGACAACACATTCATTACCTGCAATACATCCGTATTGAACATCTCGCAAATGTCACTTATCATTACTATATCTTTTTCCGTTGTTTTAAGAAACTCTTCTAAATTTAATACTGACTCGATATCTCTTGTGAGTAGCAGACTGCACAAATTCCCCACAAAAAGTCTTATGTGGTTCCATTCCCCCTTCATTTTGTTTAATTCCCCACTTATTATCGTTGTTTGTTCTCCTAATACACGTTCGATTTGTTCCCTATACTTCCCCGCTATTCTTGCATCTTCTGTTTCTTTTCGCACCCCCTCGGGAAGTGTCTCTATGATTTTCTCTGTGTTCTCCAATCTGCCTACCATATCCGTAACTATTTCTTCTAGATTCTTGATACTCACCTTTTTACCCGGGGTGCTAACAGTCGCGGCACTAACCCCTCTCGGTGTCTTTCTGGCGGCACTCGAAGCTTCCGCCATCTGGAAACAATCGATTTCCTTGTCCATACCCTCACGTTGCAACATGTATTGCGAAATCTCAATCCCTATCGATCGGTTCGGCCCCCATGTACCCCTCACCGGGTTCTGCGATAGAGATGTACGGCTCCAAGCCGGTAATTCCAGAACAGGAAATCAAACAAAAACTTTACTACGCGAACAACGAGGAAAAACAACAAAGAACAAGGCAAAAAATAAAGCTCGATCAAAGCAACCATCTGAGATAGGAAAACGATATCGAGTGTGAGATCCTTCGCGGGGCAATGCAGGTCTTGGCGCGCACTTCTTAAATATCCCTATGGTTCCCGCCATAACTTCGCTTCGCGAGCTTCTCGTACGCTGATCTCTCGTACGGCCCTCTCCACATCTCTCCTTTGTTTCTCCGGCTTTTGAAGCTTTTTAATTTATGGCTCAAAACTCGAGATGGATTTGAACTGAAAGCAAGAAAATCACCTTGTACAGCTTGCTGTGCCCTATCGATCGATACCTTAAAACCTATCTAGGAATAAGAAGTTCACGACTTATTGTTGAAAATCGAAATGGATGGAATGGATGGAACTTATGGGACAACCTGATAATTTGTTGCTTTTCTTGAAGGTCCTAACTTTTTTTCAGAAACGTGCAAACAGTACTTTTTTCATAGTTACAAAGAGTAGGTCAAAAAACTTACGTACCGACAATTTTTTTGCAGCGTTCCAGATTTTTGGTGACCCAACTCAATCAAGGAACTTTTGGTCTTCCTTTTCCATTTTATCTCTGCAGTCAGTGTGAAACAGAATACCCGCAAAATAATATTTGAAAGCAAAAGATCATTCTTTCTAATATATTCACAATCAAGCAAATCTGTTGAGATAGCACAAAGTTGAAATTTTTCGAAAACAAATGACAGAACTTACGGACCGCCCCAACTCGTGTGATGGGCACTCAGAGGCGCTGATGATATTTTACGAGACATCCAAGTGCTTCCTAACCCATAGATAGCGACAGTCCGGCTTCACCTCTAAAATCATCATCGCATAACTGACGCTTGATAATACAGAGGACACCGCTTTTTAAGCAGGTCCCTGTTTTAAATATCACGCAGGCTACTGTTGAGCAAATGTTATCGTAGAGACGCGGTTCCGAATCAGTTGCTTTTTGAGAGTGGGGAGAGGAATGTATTGGGTTGTTTCAAAAGTTCTACCCGCTTTCGATACCTTTTTTTTGAACTGCCAATTTTGGGAAGAAACCATTTTTCTTAAACAATGCTTACATCATTCAAAAGCTCTTTTCTTCTAATTTTTCAGGCATATTTCCGTCTTCATATATAGATCTTTGTTAGATGTGTGTACTTTGAAAAGACAGCGAAACAAATGTGAAAATTTTCGTCCTTGCTCTATCGCCGTAAAATCTACAGCCAAAAGAAAAACATACATGATGTTTGTTGGAGACTTGTGCTACCAAACGCTCATCGAGATATGATTTCAGAAACATTCTGAACCTACAAATTTTTAGCTCAAACATAACCTGTCTTTATGGTCCTTTCAAGTCGCATAAAAATCATAAACATATTGCAATCGCGGAACTTTTACTCTATATAGTAAGATTAGAGCTGGAACAACTACTACTAGAAGAACGAATAGGTTTTGTTGTAGAGCCGTCCCTTATATTGGAACTTGCTCGCTCACTATAGGCTAGGTCGATATGGTCTCTGTGGTTGCGGCGTACCCGCCGCACTTTGATATTTGTGTGCGTTGTTCTCTAGTTATTCCTAGTGAACCCTCGGCATGTACGCCGATAGGCAGAGGGGGAACTCTTGTGTTTTTCTAATAAATCGTCAACGGCTCAACGCGTTCCACATCAACTGGCGATCAGGATCAAGGACAAGAAGAACTCCACCACCAACCGAGGACGAGAAGAAGCTCCACCGCCGACCAAGGAGAAGAAGAAGCCTCCAGTCGCCTTCAAAAACAACTTCTCCAGATAAGTTCTCTTTGAGGAATCGATCGACGAGAGCACGAATTCTCGTCGTTGCAGCGGAGCCATGCCGAAGGTTGCAGAAGAGCGGCATGCGGCGGATCTGGAGAAGGTCCTCAACGTCATGATGGAGCAGATGCGGCTTCAACAAGAAGAAGTTCGGATCCAGATGCAAGCCCAACAGGAACAAATGCGGATGCTAATCGCTACTCTAGCCAACAACCAGAGTGTAGCCGTACACGATGCCAGCAAGGATCAATACGATCAGCTGAGCAAGGATGTGCAAAGGTTCGTCTCCGATGAAGACACAGGTAATACCTTTGTCTACTGGTACAGCAGGTACGGACCGGTCATAAGCGAGTCCTTGTTGCCAGACAACAAGAAGCGTGACCTGGTCCTCATGAAGCTGGACGAAGAAGCATACCGGAAGTATGCAGATGAAGTCCTGCCTGCAAAGCCACACGACTTGGATTTTAGCGCAACTATCGAAAAACTTCAGAAGCTGTTCGCATCCAAGAAGACTCTGATAAGAAGAAGGTTCGAGTGCCTTCGCGTCACCTGCCCACCGCTTACGCCGACGTATGTACCTTTCCGAGAATACGCCAACACAATCAAGCGGATGGATGAGGACGCTAGACTCAGGGAGCTCGACTACACTGCTATGAAGACGCTACAATTCGTAGCCGGCCTTCAGGACCCGTCATTGCGAGACGTCCGCCTGAGGATGATTCGCAGGCTGGATGCACATACGGACGAAACACCGCTGACATTCGAGGACTTGGTCAGCGAATGCGAGAATTACACCGCGTCGAAGATGGACAACACGGATATGGAAGGAACCCGCGATGTCCATGCGGTGTGGAAGAAAAAGGTGGATTGTTTTAGATGTGGAGGTCCACATTTCAGCAGAGATTGTCCACAATCAGCTAGAACTGGCCGAAGGAAGCGACGGAAGACAGGGACTCAGCCCTATG